AGTAAAGTCAAAGTGACATGGCTCCTTAAGTAAGACCCTCATATGGGTAACAGTCATTGACTGCAGCTCAGTGCATCGGTGCTCAACTTGCCTGTCACCCTTCCTAGTTGTGATCTCTTTGTCGCAAAGCTTAAATACCACCCCAAGCCTTATACCGTTTAATTACAGAGAACGGAACCCGTGAGATCGACAAAACAACCCTAAAACCCAAAGCCTACGGCGTCCCAGCTCTGCCGAAGCCATGCGCGCTCTGGGCCCGCAAAGCCCTGGCCCAAAGCTCCACACCAGAACCATGTGCTTCCGGGGCCCTACGCACGGTGAAGTTACAATACAACAGAACGAAGGTCCTGAAGTATATCCAACAAACAATCTCGAAGGCCCGTAGACCTGCAGTTGCAAAAACAAGCGTCCACCCAAAATGCCTCACCAGGAAAGCTCAAAGGCTGTATACGGCTGATGGAATTGGGCGGGGTCTGGGTGGGTGCCAAAGTGCTGTCCTGGGGGGTGCAGGGGATGCTGGGATTGGGCGGGGTGGAGGGTGAACAAAACAGACCAACATAAACCCGAAACGTCGCTCAACGACCCTTCCGCCGATGCAGAAACCCCTAAACCGCCAGCACGCAACACTGGGGGTCGCGCACGCTTGGCCTGGTAGCGGCTGAGCTCGGCCTGGTCTGCGACCTCGGGAGCTCGTTTTAAGGCTTTAGAGGTTTATAGGGTTGCTTTTAACATGAGAGGGATAGGGTGGATGCTTCCAATCTGGCAACGGCCTGCAGGGTCAAAATGCTCACTTCCTTTGATTGTTTTTGTTGTCTTGCTGAGGAGTGGCGAGGTTTTGCAAGGTTGGGACGCCTGCATACAAGTCACACTGCAACGTGCTGCCGCTGCACTCAAGTCGAGTTCGGTGTGTGGAGACAGGCGATGAAGGGCACCCTATGGCACTATGGCATTGTCTTGGATGCACCAGTGGATTTTTCTCGGGTTATTTCGTATTGAGCTGAAGGCCTACACGACAAAGGCATGTTGGGGATTAGGGCCCAGGGCTGTCGTAGGCTACCATGGGCGCTTGTATGCCGGGTTTTCTCTCAGGTATTTCTCTCAGGTATTCCAGCCATAGCCATAGCTACAATATGGCATATGCCTGCAGTTCATCTAGGTACGTATATTCTGCTTCCCAGAGTACGGGAACCAAAAAAAGAAAGAGGCTACTGTACGCTCTCACAGTATGTCCATGCTTGCAAAGCTTAAGGACCCTGCGAGACACAGGTTACCATATACTGCACCCAAACCTACACAAACCGTTTGCCCCGCGGCTGACACAAACCTTATAGTGTACAATTCAAAGGGAGGCTACAAAGCCAAGTCGGGTTTGGCATGTGAATCTGGCTGCTTAACGTAGCAGGGGACTTAATTAGTAAGTATGGTGTTAGGCTCCTACTTTTTGGGGTCCTACTTATGGCTATGATGAAGTACAGGCGCAGTTGCCTTGATGAAAACACTACTACTGACAAAGTCTCTGATCCCTCAGCTCAAGCACCGCCCCAACCCCGTAAAAACCCTAAATCCTCAAATGAGGGTACCCACTGCTCAAGCATCCACCCCTTCTTCCGCTAGTAAATGAGGAACTTCATGTGAGAATAGTTTAGCAACTGCACCTGAAGCGCAGGCTGAGAAAGTTTGAAACCTCTTCTTCTTTCCCGGGCTTTTGGATGTGATTGATCCGTGTGGTCTCAGACGCGAACACGAAAAGACCCGCAGAGACGATCGAGTCTCCGGACCCAGCCGGGAATTTGACCTGCGAGCAACGGTCGCCTTCCAGTGCCACAGCCACCGTTCTTCCAATCCCGGCCAGGCTCGGAATGCACTTTCCAACGAGTAGCTGACTAGCCCAGCACCTGCAACATCCATGATGCGTGCGTATTCAAAAAAGCTAACACCGGCTTGCTTCGCTTAAGCTCGCTCGTGAGTTCTGCCAGGTCTGCAAGCTTGCGACTCACAGAGCATAACGCAGCGCCAGCACAAGAGGAGTCATTTGTGCGGAAGAAACCAGGGACATCGTCGTAGTGGCGGGTCGAGAGATTGCGTCCACTGGCGATGAGGACAAGTTTTTCCCAATGCCAAAGAAGGCCAAATGAACTTGTAAAGCCACCCATCAACACCCTTTCTGCTATTCAAGTCCCCGGATGCTTCAGTAGTATTTTTCACGAGGTTCAAGGCACCGTTTACTCCGGACTTTCGACCTGCAGAAACCCCTTGACACCCTCTCGATGTTAACAAGGTTTCAAGAGAACCTAAACCCTACACCCCTAACCCTTAAACACTATGAAACCCTAAACCCTATATAGACTCTACAAGCCCCCGGCGTGCGGATGATCCGACGCGCTGATGGCAGCGCCTTCCTTGGCCGCCTCCCAGCCTCGGTTCTGGGTTTGGAGCGGTACCGTTCTGGGGACCCTTAGGGTGACGCATGTATGTAGGGCTTATGGGTTTTATGGATTTACAGGAAGAACTTAGGGCTTAGGGATCTTTAAACCCTAGGTTTAGGGTTTAGGGTTTTAGGGATTTTTGGGTTTAGGGGTTCTGGGATTTCGCACGTTTGGAGGGCTCAGCTAGAGTTAAGTTTGGGGTTAACAGGGTTCAAATTTGCAGGATTCGGTTAGGGTTCATTTGGGGTTTATGCTTGCAAGCCTTAGGCCTTGCATAGGGCTTAAGGGCTTGCAGTTGGGCCCTCATGGGTTTCGGGTTTGGATCATGCCTCCACCCTGATGTGTAATGCCTCGTTTTCCGATTCCCATTTCTTGGTCCTGGTTACTGGTTAGAGGCCCTCGAATGGAAACCGGCTACCGACAAAAAACTCTAAACCCTGAATATAAACCCGAAACCCTGTTTATGCGTGATGGCCTAGCTAGGAGCTATATCAGGATTAAGGGCTCGAGTTTCAATTGCAGATGTAGGGGCTTATGGTGTGGGGCCTTACATGAATGGTGCTCTTCTACGTGACTGAAGATTTCGTCATATGTGGTAAAGAAGATAGCGGAACTTGGAACAGCGTCTGCGTGCCAAGTTTCAGGTTGGCTCAAGATTGCAGCGCATCTGCACAAAGCCTCACCAAGCCTTTAAAATTACGCTGGGCGTATATTGGGGAGTTTACACCTCTAAGCTCCAGATAATCTGAAATCTGAAGACGGAGCCGGACCTCTAGTAACCCTAAACCCTATGCAACCCTATGAAACCCGGTAGAGACGTGTTTACCCAAAAAAGCTGCCGTGTGGCGGAGAGGGTAGCCAGTGACCGGATCTGGGATCTCCCGGAGCATCTTGGGCTTCAGGAAGCCACCGCCTTTGAAGAACGGGCTTTAAATAACTTAGCGTGTATTCGTGGGCATCACGGGTTCTGGAGGTTAGAGCTCTTCAAAGATTGAGGAATAGTTCTTAAGCTGAAGGGTTTTTAGCAGGCTAGGACTGGTTTCAGGCTTCCAAGGGTACGGCCACTTTCGTTGGGGCTTTTCCCCCCTTCAAGGCTTCCTGATTCAGCGGGCCACCGCCTTGGGAGGACGGGTTTCGTGCTTTGAAGTGATTCGAGGTGCCGGCCCCTTCGGGATGAGGGTTTACGGATGAAGGGTGTCGGAACTCAGTTAGGCTTCGGGAGCCAGCACGTCAAAGGTTTTACGGGTATCACGTTCGACCCGAACAAAACTCATGGCTGCATTTATAGTTACATACCTACATATATGCCTCAGGCCTACACGTGTCGGTTTAGGGTGTAGACGTGTCGGTTTAGGGTGTAGGGTTTAGGTTAGTCTATCTTCCATGACACGTTTATGCACACCACAAGGGGTCCGTGGGACGGTTGGCTCGGCAGTTACAGTAGTCTCTATCTCCGGGGGTCCATGTACCCTTTAAGGGATCCCTTAAGGGTACTATAGGGATTCTATAAGGGCTTGGGTTTAGGGTTTTAGGGTCCATGTACCTAGATAGAGGTACTTTGGTCGTAAAGTAGTGCCTATTTAGGTACTTTGGGGCCAAATGAAAAACTACTTGGGTACATGGTGATCCTCTGAACCTCTGCCTAGAAGCCCCGAAAACTCCCTTGGGCGCGTAGGTTTCGTAGTGTCGGGAATCCAACTACCCAAAAATTCGGATTTCACTACTCTCCCATTGGATTCTTGGCACCCCAAACCGTACTGTAGTTGACTAGTGGGTTACTTGGACCCGGTTACATAATCCTTTTCGGGAGCAAGCAAATTCGAATAGGATCCCCACCCCCGACCCTATCAATAAAATCTGGCCCGAATCTCAGAACCCGCCCTAAACCCTAAACCCTCTAGCTCTAGCTCCTAGGCGGTTACACCTTTCCTAGGCCCGAAAGCCCTAAAAGTCTTATATGCTCCCTAAACCGGCCCTAAACTCATCCAAAGCCGCCCATACTCCACAACCCCCCCTGCAGATCCAGGCACGACTCCTCAGCTAAGACTCCGACCCAACGAGGACAGGGAAAGTCGAAGAGTCTCGTTGACGGTGCCTGGCGACTGCAGGAAGCGCGCGAGGGTTTAGGATTAAGTGAAAAGGGCTTACGGCGTCCGCCTTCTAACGGCCGGTGATCCTTCGAAAGCTCACAGGATAAAACCCCACTGATGCATAAACCCGAATCGTGAGCGGGCTTTGGCCGGGTTTTGGGTTTAGGGTTTACGGGCCTTGGCGGTTTAGGGTCATTTCGGGTTTTAGGGATCACCTCCAAACGCGACATTTCGCAGCCTGCGCGGCGGTGAACTTTCACTTCGATCTCGTCGATGCAGAGCTTGATCACCTCCGAGCCGCGGTGCCTCGGAAAGCCGGGCGGTGAAGTTGGGGTTGAGGGAGTTGGGATTTGCGGCCCATTTGGGGAATGAAGAGGTTTTTGTTTCTCTGTTTTTAGGGGTTCGGATTTTGAAGTATCAAGTGTGACATGGCAAGTTGATGCTTTCTTGGTAGCCCTCTTTGTGCACTATAACTCCATCATACTTGTAGCCATACTTACAAATTCTCATGATTCCTGTACAAGTGATTATAACCACACAAATATACGTCCTCATGATCCCTTCAAAGTAGTCATAACGAACTTTAAATCCTCATGATCCCTTTATTAAAAGTAGTTATGAAGGACCCCTACTGTCATTTAAGACTATTTCCGCAGGAATAGGTCCCTGAACTTGCCGCAACCCTTAACCCGAGGTTTCAGGGCGATCCGTTCTGGAGTGCCAAAACCGAAGACAACAAGAATCACGACATTTCGAACTCTCCGCTAATCTCTGTAGTTTAGATATCTATGGTTACACTCTATTAAACTTAACACCAGGAGCAAACTACCTGAAGGAATGTCGATTGTGGTTTCGTTTAAACCCCCGGACGCCCCACATTTACGCCGTAAACCGCTGAAGCCTGCACCCCGAAGCCCCAATCGCTTAACCCAGACTATACACAGCCAGGGCAATTCAGCCCCAAAGATACCAGTGTTAGTAAGTCATGAGTTTACCGAAGGATTGCGACAACATAGCCTAAACTCCCACTGAGGTCGCAGCCCCACGTGGCTGCTGATGGTGTCGGTGAAGCTCCGCTCCAGCTGTTCAAGCCTCGTACTGTTTTCGAGGATGATAGTTAGGGAGTACGAGCTTAGCGATTGCAGATTAAGACCCCCTACAATCTAATGTAGGGGCCTTAATAATTACAATAGGGTGTTGAGGTAGATCATACTATAATCATAATCAGGAACAGGCCAAGCTAGTATTGGCCATTATTGAGGCCCCTACACTCTAAGCCCCAAAACTTCTGAGCTTGTGTTTTCAGAGAGCGGGGCTTTTGGGAAGGCGGATTAAGGGGTGAGAGGGATGTGGAGCGGTCAGAACGACTTGGGGCTCGGGGCCTTGCGGTTGGAAAGCGGCTCGGATTCCTGACTGCTGTCTCGTGGAGATTGGAGTCTTTAGGGCTGAGGATTTACTAAACCCTAAACCCTAAACCCTAATGTAGGGTTGAGGGTCAGGATGTACATCCCAGGTGTTGGAGAGACATCTGAGGGTTTTGAGTTTTGACTTCGAGCCAATGAGCCATCTTCGATTTCGACCCGCAACCCCAAACCAGAGCTTGAAGCCAAGCCAGGCCAAGCCTCAAAACTATTTAGGGAGTTTAGGGTTCAGGTTTTAGGGTTTAGGGACTAGACCCGACACGTAAGCCTTTGTAAGCCCAATCATGTGGCCTGTGATCGCAATAGCTCAGTGCCTTCATTCCTATTCCCCCTCGGCCAGAAACTGACTCATGAGGCTGAAACAGGCACCTGGTTAATTAAGGCGATTTATGAAGTTGTGCTTTACATGAAGCCCGTTTTCAATGGCTATCTAACAGAGAGGACCTCACCTTACCTTTGGCTGGGATAGAAGATTTCGATGGCAGAAAAGGGCCAGCATTTTTCGTCATAATCCAGAGTATCATCGTGACAACTCCATCCTCCTCCTCGTGACCAGATCTCACACCCTCGGTCCTCATAATCCTCAACAGCACCAGGATCCCGGCCATCGTCTTCATCATCCAGCTGGGAGCATGGTGACAGTCATCATCAAAACACCAACATTGCACCATAAACAAGCACACAACTTGCGAGCCCCAAATCCCTAACGATAGACCCATGAACCCTGAACCAAACCTTGAGCCACCAAGTATTGAAGTCGGACTGACAAGAGCCAGCAAACCCACCTTAGACCCAGACCTTCCCGAGCCCGCGCCCCGAAAAACCAAGCGAGGCCCTCGCTCCATGTCCAGCTCACAGACGAAATGCACGAAGATACGGCTTGTGACGGATGGGCCTGCAAAACACCACACATTTTAGGGCTTGGGCTTTTCGGGTTTGGGGTTGGGTGCTTTAAGGTTAGGGTCAGTCTCATTAACTGTCGATCAGGAGCTTCAGGTTTCCATGACGCGATTGTCACCAAAGGATCCAGACATGCTTGGGCTTCGCACCTAACGACAAGATCTGCTAACGGAGATTTGGATGTTGCTTCCAAGGTGCAGGGGCTTAGGGTTTCGCGAAGTATTTCGGAGGGATGTGGGAAGTAGTTGTGACTTCCCTGTACTCCTAGGCCAGTCGATCGTTGCAAGAGGATGCCACGAAAACCCTGCCTTAAACTTAATTACACCCGGCCCCAATATCTAAACCCGAATCCTTCTAAACTATGCCCCCGAAAAACCAACCACTAACAAGCACCGCAGTCACACCAGCAAGATCAACACCGCAAGACAAAAAGCAGCAACAAGCCTTAGAGCGACACTAGACCCCAAAACCTAAACCCTAAAACCCTAAACCCCTCAACCCTAAACTACGATGCTCAGGTCCCTGCCAAACTTGGCCACGCGAGGATCCAGCATTGCCTTGGGGTCTCGGCTTATGGGTTTAGGGTTCAGTGTTTAGGGTTCCGGGATGGCAGTTTACCCAAGGCGTCCGATGTAACCCACCAATTTTGGGGTTTCTCTAAGGGGTTTTAGACGGTGTCATAGTCTGCTTTTAGGGTCCGAAGCACACAATCATGAGGTACTTGGGTTTATGGCAATAGTTTAAACCAGGTTTGTGTAGCGCTCTTCTAAGGAGACAGGGCACACCCTGGTAACTACGATAGAACAGGCCTTACGGTTAGACAAGTATAATCTTTGCGGGACCCTTTGTATTTGCACGCTAAGGTGTTGGGGCTCAGGTGTCTACGGGTTTAGGACTTCCGAGCCCTATGAATGGCAACGCCCACTGTTATTCTAAGGCCCTGAAACCCCTGAAAGGCACCGAAACCCTAAACCCTAAACCCCCTCAAACCAATTTATCCCAAATCCTGAACCCCGAGCCTGAGGTGCACAAAGCCTATTCAAAAAGCCCTGGAGGACGAAACCTTCTGGAAGTCTGAGCCTTTGCAAAGAATCCCAAAAAACCTGGAGGGTCCATGTACCCATCTCACCTTTTTTTGCGGCCCTACAGTGCCTAAAGTTGGACTACTTCAAAGCCACAGTATAAACTATATTCGTACATGGACCCTTAAGGAAGAACCCTCAACCCCTCAACCCTGAAGTTTCAAAGTTTAGGGCTTGGGGTTGAGGCCCGGTATGACTCTTGGGCTGAGGATTTAGGGTTTAGGGTGGGGACCCTACTGAACCCTCAGCGCTCAAGTGCCCGGCGTGCTCCACCTCCTCGAGTGCCACGTCCAAGCTGTCCGTCAGGGAGGTGCTGAACGAGTCTTTGTCCACACCTCTGCGGCGTTTTTTCGAAGTAGCCCTAACCCCCCAGGTACCTACTATATAGGGTACTAGAGCCCCTGGGGCCCTATATAGTAGGTACTTGGGCGGTTAGGGTACGGTCCTCAAGCTACACGGCTGCCAGAATTTCCGGACTCTCGGCTGAGGCCTTCGGAGTGGAAGAGTCTTCGGGGCCTCCTTATTTTTGAATATGGGGGTCTCCGAAAAGAGGGGACCCTAATATAGCACCCTAAATAGTAGGATCCCTATTATAAGGACCCCCCAAGTAAGGTACCCTGTATTTTTGGAAACTCCCATACGTTTGAGCCTACGTGTAGCTTTTTCAGTCGTGGGCTTGAAAAGTTGGGAGGTCAACCTTTCGGGGGGTTACGTGCGAGTTCGGAAGAAGAGAAACCGTAATACATAATCTTATGTAATTATAGTGTTACAGTATACTGCTGTGCTCGAAAATATTATCGTATGTTACAGTCAACTTATCAGTGTACCATCTGGGAAGTTTGATAGGCTGAGACTCTGCACGGATTGGTTTTGGGCTTACATAGCCCTAACATCCCAACATGCCCCACCCCACAAAGTAGATGTCACTCATAAACAGTAGATTCAATAGACCCCAAAGTAGCGACTATGATATATGGCATATAGCTTCTACAGACTGTCCCTGTCCCCGCATGCCCTTGCATTTGCAGCTGCAAATATGGCCTCTCTCCTGGGTTTACGTAGGGGTCGGGGTTTGAAGCTGAAAAGAGTTCTGGCCTGCAAGGTCGAGGGTGCAGCCGTTCCCCCTTTTTCATGCTACACTGCGGTCCTTAGTCACATCAGTGTGTGCTGCAAGATGTTAACGGCACTATAGAGCAGATGCGACGGGGTCACACCATGGTCCCATCACCCCTCTGTTTTTACTAGCAGCGAAGGACATTGGGGAAGCGACAGAAACGAGACAAGTACCAAACATGTGGCAAAAGCTTACTTCCCTACTGAGCCAGGGAAAGAAAAGGTGAAACTTTCAGATTGCTACTGAATCGTATAAAGTTTAAAGGTTGAGTATTGGAGAAGCAGTGAGGGGAACACCACTTCTTTCTCTCCCACCAAGGCCTGTCTGCAGTCAAACACAGAATTAGCCACTCACAAGATCGGTGAAGGCTACTGTTCCACGAAGCTCTCGACTTGCAGATTACAAAACCAGTAAACGACACGAAAAGCCTCATGCTTATAGGAAGTCTGTTACCCTACAGGTTCCAAACCTGTACATGTAAGACAAGGACGTTTACTACCCCAGAAAGAGCAAACGTTACCACAAGAACGCACATTTTGGCGCGTGAAAACTCCCTGATGCCAACCGCACTTCCCGTCGAGCTTTGCTGTGCAAGAGCTTCTGAACCATGACTCCGGCGAAGGATTGTTCTTGGTCACAGTCGGCTTGAGTACGGATGACAAGTGGCCCCTGAGCACCAGCAGCTCAAGCTGGATCCAATATCCTTGATCAATGGACAAATTCACACTTGTGGCCTGGCAGAGACTTCAAACAAAGGGTTTCTTGAGGCTGCAGAATGGGCAGAGCACC